TCGCCAATTTTGAAATTTTATTGATCAATACAAATACAGTTGTCACGTGATGATTAGCTAATACGTCCAAATGTCCTGGACATAAAAATTTTATGTCCATGTCCGTGGGACAGTCCGGGAACGGACAGTCCATGTCCGTGTTCATGTCCCATGACAATACTGCCTTTACGTCTGTTTTAAAGGTATGCTTTGATGAAATTTGTTCAATCTGTCATCTGATCTGATCAAAAAATGGATCATTCAGATTATGAATGAACAGATCGCGAATAATCTGGATGTGATCCTCAGATAACATCAGATTGATCAGTCATTATGCAGATGACCAGATTGATCAGATAATCCAGTCATTTTATTTTATTTTATTTTTTTTTTAAAAAAAAACCACCTTTTTTTCTTTAGGATCGGACATGGACATGGACTTGAATTTCAGAATTTAGGATTAAAAAGTATGTTGGAATAGGGATAAATTCAGTTTTTTTTTTGGAATGTTACTAACATTCCTTTCTTTCTTTTCTTTAGGGGACGTATTCTTGGACCTGAATTTCGACTTGGGTTATAAAAGTAAGTTAGATGTAGATTTTTCTTTGTCTTTAGAACGCCATTAACGTTCTTTTTGCTTCTTTTCTTTAGGGAACGCCTTCCTGAACCTGAATTTTGTTTGGGCTATGAAGGTAAGTTGATGCTTTTGTTTTTTCTTTGTCATTGGGAACATCATTAACATTTTTTTTGCTTCTTTTCTTTAGGGGATCTGAATTCGGCTTAGACTATGAAGGTAAGTAGTGTGAGGGTATTATTTTCATTTCTTCTTTGTCTTTAAAACGCTATTAACGTTCCTTTTGCTTCTTTTCTTTAGAAGGTGCCTTCCTAGACCTGGATTTCGGCTTGAACTATGAAGGTAAAGTGGTGTAAAAGATAGTTTTTGTTTCTTTATCTTTGGAACACCATTAATGTTTCTTTTGCTACTTTTTTTGTAGTTTTTTTATTTTTCTTTACCTTTGAAATGCCATTAATGTTTCTTTTGCTTCTTTTCTTTAGGGAACGTCTTCCTGAACTTGGATTTCATCTTGGATTATAAAGGTAAGGTGGTGTGGAAGATTGTTTTTGTTTCTTTATCTTTGGAATGCTATTAATATTCTGTTTGCTGCTTTTCTTGTAGAATTTTTATTTTTCTTTGTCTTTGAAACGCTATTAATATTCCTTTTGCTTCTTTTCTTTAGAGAATGCTACCTGAATCTGAATTTTGTCTTGGACTATAAAGGTAAGTTGTAGTGGGTTTTTTGTTTTCTTTTTTGTTTTTGGAATGTCATTACCAGTTCTCTTACTTATTTTCTTTAGGGAACATCTTTTTAGACCTAAATTTCGACTTGGGCTATGAAAGATATGTTAGGGAGGTGTTTTTTTTTATTTTTCATTTATTTTTCTTTAAAAATCATTTACATTTTTTTTCTTTTTTTCTTTGGAATACTTTCTTGAATCTGGATTTTAGAATTTTGGAAAGAAAAATTTATATTTATTTATTTTCTATTTAGAACTTTTGCTTCTTTTTTAAAAAATAGGAATCTTTACAATTATGAGTTTAGGTTTACAATAAGTTTTATAATATTTTAATAAAATAACAATTTATTTATATATAATAAATTATA